CCATTAGCTGAATGTACTATCAATAAAATCCTGGGTCGCAAGTACTCACCTTAATATTTAAAAAAAAAAAAAAAAAACTTTTTGAATGCTTATAACTTTTTATATTTTTATAATCTGTGATATTGTTGTAACTTATTGTTCTGTTATAATCTGTTGTTACTATAATCTATTGTATTGTTGTAATCTTGTTGTATTGTTATAACTAAAGTTATATTAAATTTTAGTTATTATAATCTATATTATTATAATATTTTTAATATAATAATACATTAATTAAATATAACTATATGTTTTCAAACGTTTGCACTTATATATATATATATTTTTTATATTAAAGTTCTTTTTTTTTAGAATGCAACATTTTTATTCAAGTATATAGAACACAAATTGCCTTCAGAGACTCCTTTACATTAAAGGTTACAACTAGTTACATATGCATTTTTGATGCCTAATTTAAGTAGTTTGCTTATATATTACTATATAAGTTTTATACTAAATATCATATCTGCAAGCCAGCTAGAGGTCTTGCCTATTTAAACCTTTTGCATATACAGTTTATCTTATATTATGAGAACATCTTCAAGGCTACACCTATTTATGTTCTTGATGCTAATTAGTACTCTTAGAACTACTTTATTCTTAACAGAAAACTTACTAAAGCCTTTATGTTTTACATATACTGATCTATTTTTATACAATATACTATAGTTATCTAAGATTTACAATTACAAAGATTACCTGTTTAACTATTACATTACACTATTTCTATTCTTGTAAAGTTTACTAGAACTCCAATACCTATATTCTTAATATCTTTTCTATTATTTCTTACTAGCTGCAACTTAGAACTAGCAGTTTCTGGCCAGACTACCAATTCAGATAATCTGATATAATATATTTCTGTATTCTTTTCTTCTAATGAGTTTGGCAGTTTGGTCAAATATGTATTTCTTTATATATATTTGGTATCTAGTTTAACAATCTGTTTCTTTGAAAGTGTTTTGTGAACTTTAATCAGTTTGATAGTATTGTTAAAAGTTTATATTAACTTTTTACTTAGGAATTTCCTAGTAGGTTTTTATTATTTCAGTTTCTTAGTTATCTATACTTGATAGTTTTATCATAGGTTTGTATTAAAGTTTTATACAATACTGTTTATATATTCCTTTATATATATATAACATTACATTTTACATAGATACCCTAAGTTCTCAATATTAGTAGGACCTAACTTAGTGTATCTGGATTATAATCACATGAGACCAATTGATTAACAAAAAACAGTTACTATAACATAGATATAATTTTTCAAATTTTATTAAAGATGGGATTTGAATCTTAGACTTGCCACTTGGAGGTTGACAATCCAATTACTACACTAAGATCATTATCCTCTTATCTGCATTTATATTAAGTACTTTAATATATAATATTGTTAATACAAATTACAAATTTATTAATAAATTTTTTTTTTAATATTAAAGATAAGTATTTGTAATTTAGACTTTTATTAATAGTATATTTTAACTTTATAATTGTAATATAACAGTCACAAGAAGTAAACATAAGAAGAGTATACAACTAATCACTTATATAACTTTAGTTATTGTCTAATTAAATAGTTTGCCTAAAGGTTCTATACTGGCTGCCATATCTAGAACTTACTTGTAAATTTTTTATTTAAATACTCTGGTTCTTATATCTACTCACCTACCTATTTTACCAACTGCTTTGGTTTTTATTAATATAAATATATCATAATTATTAGATCTTTAAAAACAGTTTACTTATATAAGAATTTTTGATTTTATACTAAACCAGTTAGCTTTGCATAATGTAACTTTATGTCTAGTTTAATTAGTAATTAGATTAGTAAACTCCTTTATTTAGAGTTCTTGCTCATATAGATTACTTACTTCAAATTTTCTTTTTTAAATCAAGATTTTCACAAGTGATACTATTAAAGATTATATTATTTTTCTGCTTGGAATTTCTAAACAAAGCTTCTTATAGAGTATATATATTTCAAATTTATTTGTATAATATTGCATACTTTTAAAGTTAGTTTTAATATAACCAGAATTACATTTCTAGATACTTTAATTAAATTGCTAGAATAAGACTACTTTTCAAAATTCTATTACTAGTGAGATTTAAACTCTAAACCTATTGCTTGAAAAATTACAATCCAATTATTATACTAGAATTATCATTCTTTTTTGCTATAATAATTGTTATATGTGCTAAACAAAATGTACTAATAGAGTTTACTACTATAACATAAAAACATGCTACTTATTTTGTATTTTAGTTTATTTTTTATAATAAAGCTAGCTTTGATGGCTTGATTTTACATACATAATCATATTTACTTTTGCATATATATTTTATAAATTTATTGTACTATATTATTATTGATGTATGTTAATTCACATATGATTTTTTTTTACTTAAAATTAAAAACATTAACAAAAATCATTTTAAACCATGTATATTACAATTGTTTTTCTAATAAAGTTATATAAATTAATATTAAGCATGCAGCTCAAAAAGATGAATCTAAGATTTATTTAAGTTAGATTTTTTAAAACTAAAAAATGCTAAACTTATAACTATACTTTTTCTAACCTCTAGCTTTTACCCTAATATTTAAATTTCGGTTTAAAAAAAAATTCATTAATTGATTATTAGAGGCACCAAATGCACCGTGCACTATTTAATATTTTTCCATATAAAATAACTACGTATTTAAATAGCCACAGCAAATATCTGAAGTAGCATTTTATCAACATTAAGCTTCTAAAATCAAATCTTTATAAATTAATTCTGACCAGATACTATTTCAAGTACATTTAAATTTGCTACTTCAGATAAGTAGCCACTTCAAATGCAACACATATATGTATATATATTTTTTGAAAAAAATTGTATATTAAGCATAAAGTTTATATAATTTTAACATTCAAATTTGAACATCTGAGTTGACAATTTAAGGAATAATAAATAGACTAATGCATTTAATGCATATAAAGTCAAGGGATAACAGCATATCTTTCCTGATAATATATGACCTTATTATTAATTTTTTAAAGAAAGAATACAAATAATATATCGATGAATTATTATATAAATTTTATAAATTTAATCAACTTCATCTTCAGTAAATTCGCTGTCATTGTCTCCAAATATATCATCATATTCATTCAATTCATCGAGTTCGTATAAATTTCCTTCTTCGTCTTGCATTAATTCACCTGTGGTGACAAATATTGAGTAATTGCGTAAGTAAGGATATAACTCAATCATGTACAAAAATTACCTTCAACTTGTTCTTTTACACCTTCAAAATCACGCATTAACTCCTCGACCTAAGTTCATAAACTTTATTTAGATAATTTAAGGTAATTTATTTATATTAATTAGGTATTTAAATTGTTTACTCTATTTGCAGAAGGATCTTCTTCTTCCTCTTCTTCACCTCCATCATCATTTTCCAAACAATTTTCATGAAGCAGATCTTCAAATTCTTTATCATCAATGACCGTACCTTCGAGCAATGCCTTAAATTTTTTCCTCATTATCTTACGCATTTTTAATACCACACTTCTTTTATAATGGCCATCTCGTTCCTTACGATAATCACATCAAAGATAATATGTTTATATACTTATAATAAATAAAAGAAAATAAATAAATTTACTAACGGTACAAATATCTTGTACGGAATCAGAAGAGTCAATAAGACTTCTCATTAACGGGTCTGTTATATCACAAAGTTGAAAAATCGCAATATCTCGCTCTGCGGTTTTACCATCAAAAATATGAGTTGTTCTAAAGTCGAAAAATTAAATACGTGAATACTTCATCGGAATCTAACTATTGAACTATATACAATTTCGTACTTTATATAATTTTCAGGTAACAGTGATAATTCATCCATTTCAGTCGCTAAATCAGCCTGCACACGAAGTAAACGTTTTGCTCTTTCAAGTCGAACAGGTCGTCTATTATTCCGAATGTCTGTCACTTGATAACTATAAGAATCCATGTAAGATTGCTTGTTATGATAGTCAGTATGAAAAGCACATAGCGCACTATAATTCACATACAATCTTGCCTCCTTATTTTTTCGTGGATCATATCCATAACGCATCCAACAATCTCGCCAAGGACCATTTAACATTAAATATGCGACCATTGGCAATAACCTGACAACGAACAAAAATAATTTTTATTTAATTAATTATATTACGATTTTCCTGAAAGATAATGTTAGAATATAATTGCATACATTTTGATGGATCTCCGATCACAAACTGGCAAATTATTCATCAATGCCAGTCTTGTCCATATTGGTCTTTCTGCGAATAGCTTCAACCACAAAAATACGTCACACATCAAAGTATTAATGGAATTCAATTTTTTAATAATGCAAATTACCTTTTGAATTCGCGCGACACTTTCCGGAGGAGGTTGATGCGCAGGTTTTATAGCATCTGGTGGTGGCCCCTCTGGAATAGGTGATATTGTTAAGGTACATCATCAACCAGGTACGTGATAAGATTCAATTTAAATAAGGATATTTTCTGAATCGTAATAGATTGAAATGGCGACAAATTTCTTCCTACGACTTCTATTAATCAGCTTAAGGGCAGGTGCCTAATATATATATATTAAATAGCGTTCTTAATTTGCATAAACAAAAAAATAGTAGATAATTAGTGGTTCATTATTCACCTCTCCTTCTCCCTTTTGAACCAAAACTTTAACCACTGCCATATTCTGTCGATAGCTATGGAATAAATAGGTTGGCAAGCGAAAGAATTCACAACGATTATATATTAATGACGCGTTAAAAAATTACCCATATTCCATAGGACACTCAATACGCGAAAAAGATGGTAGTGGTAAATTATCTTCATCTCTTTTATCATTTAGTAAAGATTCGAAATCCATAATTGTATCGACTGTTTTGATTTATAATTCCATTAAATGAAATGAGTTCGCAATTTATATAATATTATGAAAAAAACATGTTATTTGCTATATCTTACTATCAAAATTTTCTAGTGCTTTTCTATATCTTGGAACAGAATCGTTTGGATTTGGGACATATTGGTAATCTGCCATTCCTATATAAATTTTTTTTTTAAGTTTCGATTTATTGACCTATTGCAGTAATTAAATTTTTTTTTTTGTTTTACATACCTCGAAAGCGACAGGTCTTACTGATAATTCCCATAATTTCAAAATTGATGTCTTTGTCCGATTCTTCATCATGGTCATCAGAATCGCGTCGCATATGATGATTTTTGACTTTTTTACGTCGACGTGTTACTTTAAGTAAAAGATTCGCAGTTGGAATTATGTCTCCATTAATAGGATGACAAAAAGGATTATCCGGCCTGAAACGAAGTTCTAATAAGTCTTCGTTTACTGCCTAAAAAATAAAATAAAAAATTGCGAAAGTTATCAGCTGAAATTGTAAACGAATTTTATTGAAAGGTTTAATATTCCACCTTCTTTAGTCCTCTTTGCCCTCCAAGAGTTTGTAGCGCTTTATCTATATTTATAACATTGCCAGGATATTCCACAGCAAAAAATTGCTGTGTTGGTAAAATTTTTTCAGGCGCGATTTTATAGTTCTGTGGAATAGTTGTCTTAATATCTTCCATTGTATTTGATGTCTTTTGGTATAACGATAATGCAAATTAAGACACAAATTTCGAGCATAGGTAGTATTAGTAAAGTTTGATTTTATTGGTTGATGATGATCAACATAATTAAAATTCCGATTGGTTAATTTAATAAAGCCATATCTACTAGGGATGTTACTATTGTAAAATTTCGGAGATTTCCGTTCGTCATGACAATTTCCGCCTTGACTTTTCATCAGTCGGAAATTTTCTGAATATGATATCATAATACGTATGTATATAAATATCAATAAATATTACAATATCTTTATTAAAAAACTGCTACATCCGACTGAGTTTTCTAAGTTCCGGTTAAAATAAACACCGCCGGAGAAAAAACATCTTCCGGCATTCGGAAATTTTGTGCCCTGACCCAAACCTGGTAGTTTGGGACTTAGTAGAATCCGAAAGGGTTTTTACTAGATTTTACAATTGGGTAGAAATCCCAAACTTATGCATAAACGATAACAAAAGCAATTATCACATGATTGCGCCATCATACCACAATTATTTCGCAGTGACAGCATTTATTAGCTTGAAAGTACCCAGTTTACATGTTTAAAAAAAACAATTATTACATAAATTTTTAAAGAAAAAAAAACAAATGTGCAACAAAAATGAGATGGTGTTCTGTAGCCTAGTGATCTAGGCACCCCTCTCTTCACAGACAAGGTTGATGGTTCAATTTCAGCTGGAGGCAAAACTCTGTAATCTACAAAAGCATATGAATGTACATGAAACCCTGTGGCTTAAGTCTATGTGAATAGAAGATCAGTATATAAGGAAGTTCCTGGAAAGAAGTTCCCAATATGGAGAGTTGGTGCTCAATATGAAAGAAGTAGTGAATATACCAGAAATAAAGAGAAGGTACACTAGTAAGTGATATGGTAAATATAAAAGGAAACTATGATAAAGGAATAGACTTACTAAAACTCAAACACCTCTGGCATCAAAACTGGTTTAGTGAATACAGGATATACTAATACAGATAAAATCTAAGGGGGTAATCTTGATACCATATTTAGTAAGTTTGCATCAAGGATAAATTCGAAGGATTATGAATACTCAATAACATCTAATAAGGTAGTACCTTAATATAAATAGTAATTAAATAGTTCTAACCTGATATGTTCATGTGATAATGGAAGGTTGTAATGCATAGGATTAAAAATCAAAAAGTTTAAATAGGGGATTCACAGTCAGATCTCAGATATGATAGCTAGTAGGTAACCCTTAGGCAAAACCCTTAATTAGATAATGACTAAAGTTATACATGTGGTTAGTTATACTTTTATTAATAAACTTTATATTAATTAATAATCAAATATTACTCAATAAAAGACAGACAGGCAAGATTGCTACTTATAATACAAAAAAAAAAAACAAGTATGTAACAAAAAAACTTCATTATATCAAAAAATTTCATCTTGATTTTTATACATTTTTTAGAGTTTTTTCTTTGTTTATATTATATTAAAAAGTATAAAAATAATATATATTCTGATTATTTGTATAAGTTTCTTTATTTTGTCTTATAGGTTTCTAAGAAATAACTTACAGATTAAAATGATTAGTTTAAATAATTTAACCCATTATTAGAATTTAATAATACTATATAAAAAACAGATTTAGTAGCATATTTGTTTAAGTTATAACAAATTGATTATTAAAATAAGTATTAAATAAAAACTTAAAATAAATATTTAATAAAAAAAATTGTATATATTTAAATAAATTTTATAATAAATTTACATTTGTGAATTGAAATTCATTTTTCATAATTGTAGCAGAGTTGAATTTCATATTTCTACTTTCTTGCATTGCTGTTGTTGCATATGTTATTTTATTATTATATTGATTATTAAAACTTATATTCATTAGTTTAGTTTAATGTACTTTTATATAACTCACTTTTTAATAACTCTTTTTTATAAAATTTAAGTTATTTTTAAGATTAGAAATGTAATAAGAATGAATCTTAGTCATACTTTCAAGCTACTGAAGTGATAGTTATGAATATTATATATTTTAAAATAGAAAAATTACATTCACAGTTTATTTGTAAAAATATAATTACAAAAATAAGATATACAAAGTCTTGAAGATATGTATTGTTGTTTTTAATAACATCTTATTACAAAGCAAATAGTTTAGAGAAATTATAGTCAAATTCAAATAAGTACAGAGAGATCTTTTTAAATACATCCTCTTAGAACTAAACTTTAGAGTGCATTTATAGAGGATGTGCATTTAAAGAATTATACAAAAATTTTTCTAAATACACTCTCTTTAGGATTAGATTTGAGTGTGTACTTAAATAATTATACAAATTTATATAGAATAAATATTTATATAATATCAAAACTGATCAAATTGGTTTATTTATTTAACAAATAAAATTTGATATAAAAAGATATTAATATACCTAAATATATATATTGCAATACAAAACTAAAATATTCAATCTAAAATTATTAAATTATCTGTTAATGTTTCTGTTACTTCTGTTTTATTAATATTAATATTAAAATATTAATTTATTATAGATTATTTTATCAAATCCTTTTTTTAGCAATAATAAATTTTTCAATTATACTAACTAACTTTATACATTCACTTGCACTTTTTTGCTGAAGCAAAAAGGTGCATACATTTTTTAAACTCTTTAGAACTTTATTTGAATTTATAATTTCATTTTTAATACTATCATCTGCTTTTTTAGAATTCTCATATTTCATTTCATCAGATCTTTCTCTAAATGTTTTTACAAAATCTAAAATAATTTGGTCTTTATTAGAAACTTTATAGACAATATCTTTATCAGAAATATTTAGATATTCTTCTATTCATATTGAATCAAAAAAATTAAGAACTTCAATATTTTTAGAAAGTTTTTCAAATAATAGTTTATCAAGCAATATTTCATCTTCATCAATATTATTTCAAATAGAAAGAATATTTGTATAGCATTAACAGTTTTAAATTATTCTTTCTGTAATTTCATTTTTTTTTTTTCACTTTGGCAGTCTTGTCGATACTCTTTATTAAGATTCCTGTTTATATATTAACAAACATTTTTAGACTTAATGTACTGAGTTAACATCCTGCAATTACTTCTATGAGCACTTACAAGTAATTTGCTGCACCAGTTGCCTAATTTCTAAAGAAAAAAAGGATCTGGGGGCTCATCTAACCACCACCCTACAATAAAGTATTACCAATCTGATAACACTTTTTTATAAGGAAGTGAAAGAAAAAAAAAAACACTAAACTAAACTAAACTAAAAAGGGATACAGGAAGAAAAAAAAAAAAAAAAAAAAAAGTGTTAGAGAGCACATCTTATTTGTGACCATTTAGGACACTAGCACTTTAAACCTATGCTAAGGATCTAACTATACTTTAACCTGTATTAAAGAGATAAAAATTTTATATATATAATTTTAGAAATTACTATATATTTCTAATTTGCTATAATCCTCTAACTTAAATCCTTTTTCATTTCTTCATTACACTATATGTTAGGCCATATACATGATTGTTGTGTTTCTATTACATCATATTACAACATGTAACTGTCCAAAAAAGGAAGTAATAAACAATGTCAATCTTTTGTAGAAAGGGAGCCAATTTTCCCACTTTTGAGTAAGAAAAACAAAATAAGTAAAGAAGGTCGACAGATATGATATGTGAAAAGCCAAACCAAAGAGAGTGTTTCCAGTTGTTCATTTGTTTTTAAGCTTTTGGTAACCTTTAACCAGAGTTTTTCTCTATTGTTTCCAAAATGTTCTTCTGGTTTGGGTACTAAATATGTTGAGGAGTCCACTAACAGACAAGTCTTGCTCTTAACACAAACTACCAGAAGAGTCACCTGCATCTTGGTTTTTTCACATACTTCTAGTTCATTAGCAATAATCTGCTTTATATATCTAAACAGAATCAAAGATATCATTATCTTAAAAGCATAACTCTTCAACTGTTTTGGTTTAAGTGATCATTAGGAAGAGTAAATAAACTATACTGTATTCAAAACTTATTAATAACAAAAATGTTTTGTAACTTCATTTTAATTGTAAATAATATATTTAATATCTATTAAAATATTTTTATAATACAATTTAATTAATATAATATATAATTATTTAATAAAAACTGAGATTAGGTCTCACTTTGAAAACAAACAAAAAATATATCTTGCAAAATATTTATTTTTAGATCTTGCACATTTTATCACTCTTAATTTGGTCAAGCATTCATTGAATATAATGATGGCGATAATTTTTTTAAAAGACATTATAATTTCAGCATCCATTGGCTGAATTTTTGAAGTTGTATTTTTAGATAATAAACATATTTTTACATTCTTAAGAACTAGACTATTGGTTTTGTAACTTAAGCAATTATCAAGAAGCAATAAAACTAACTTTTCTTTGTGTTTTTTTAGCATTTTCTGATCAAAATCTTGAAGCTATTGTTGAAAAATACTTGTTAACATCCAAGCTTTAGCACTATTCTGGTAAGTCATTGGTATATGAGGTGGAGTCAATAGAAATAGGACAAATCTATTAAATAAATTTGTCTCATTTTTATTGACTCCACTTCATATTAGAAATTTTAACATTTTTAAAGCATTGTGATCATGTATATTTTTTAATAATTAGTGATTTTAGTTTATATAACTTATTAGAATTCTATACAAAGCAACAGTAATATGTTTATTATTTTTTTTATAACCAGAGAAATGCTGTGTAGCTAATGAGTAATCAGACTCTAATCAATAAAAAAAGGTAGTTTTATCTATATTGTATATTAACTTAGAAGAATAATTGAAATATTTGTTTTTTAATAACAGAAGAGTCTGCATAATTGCTATATTGTTAGCAGATTTTGCTTCATCATGAAGTTTTTCCTTACAGATTCTATTATGCTCTTTAAATTTGTAAAGCCAACTTGATGAAAATTGCAATGTACAGTCATCAGC